GGCCGCTTCAAACATTTTATTGCCGGGTAGTTCAAGCCAAGGCATGTTGTTTGTTGGAAATTTTTGCCGGTGAATGTCCCAGTCTACTTCCACTCTGTCCTTCCCATCCAACATGTTCTGCGCCATGCAGGATCTTGCCATCACCTGGCCCAGCAGTGGGGCATGGTTTTGATGGAGGTGGTGTTCGCCCGGCTGTTGACTTGCAACCGGTGCCTTGGCATTGAGTGCAAGCCTATATGAAAAATCAATGGCAAAATTCATTTGGAATTCGTTTCTATTGCGCTTGGCTGGTTGCATTCTTTTAATTTTGCACGGTTGACGGCTGTGAGGCGCTCAACAGGATGGATATGGTCCATGAAAGGATGCCCAGGGCAAACCTTGCGAGATACAAGTCCAAAACTGAGAAGTACCACATGTTCAAAGCTGCAGCAAAGCTGTGGTCTGAAGGGCTTCCATGGCCCAAAGCTTTTGAAATTGTGAAGGAAGCCTTTGATTCCTGTGCTACCGCAACTTGATTTGATGTCAGCAATGCAGATTCATATTTTTAAAGAACGAAGCCATGCTTGAATGTGTAACAACAAAACATTTTGCGACTACCGAGCCATGTCTCATCGACACATTTTGCGTGAGCCGGGGAGGTAAAATCCCACTCAAAACCGCTGGTTTGAGATGTAGCAGTGTTTGAGTCTAATCCTACTGGGATCCAACTCTAAAGCAAGTGGATTTTCAGCCAAGCGTGCTTTTTATTGATCTGATTTTTGATTTTGAGCAAGTTGCTGCCAAATCCGGCTGTAAATGTGATGAATCCTATTGGGATCAGACTCTAAAACTCTTGAGTTTGCCCGGATGGTATTTGTGATAGATTTGTTTCCCCACGCTGCAGCTTTTGTATAGCTGACTTGTCCAGTGCCTCCAGGAAAACATGGTCACCACCAAATGTTCGCGGGATGCACGTTACAAGGTAATTTTCGTTTTGTGTCGGATCCTGATGGGATCCGACACAAAATGTGGAAACACATAGGTTTTTGAGTCGGCATTTAAAGCTTGGTAACTTTCATTTTTGTGTCAGAGGCTGATGGGATTCGATTCAAAACGTGGAAACACCACCGGCTTTGCTTTTTTTGTGTCGGATGCTGATGGGATCCGACACAAAATTTGGATCCGACATGAAATTTGGAAACACAACAGGCTTTGATTTTTGTGTCGGATGTTGACGGGATCCGACACAAAACTTGGAAACACAATCGGCTTTGTTTTTTTTGTGTCGGATGTTGATGGGATCCGACACAAAATTTGGCAACACAACAGGCTTTGTTTTTTTTTGTGTGTCGGATGTTGATGGGATCCGACACAAAATTTAGAAACGCACTTGCTGTTGACAATTTGTGTGTCAGATCTTGATGTGATCCGACACAAAATTTGAAAACAAAACTGGTTTGGGTTCTTGCGTCGGATGCCATCGTGATCTGACACGACATTTGGAAACACAAAGCTTCTTTGAGTCATCATTTCTTGCTGGCTGAAATCATCATTCAACAAAAATCAAGTTTCCATGCAACTTTTTGCATAGAAAGTATCAAAAAGTCAAAAACAATTGGGTGCGGCATGGACACCTAGGGCCTATGCCATTGGGAAAAATGAAAATCAACAAATTTCACGAAATGCATTAAGTACAAGGTAAATTTCCATTTGTGTGGGATGCCGTCGCGATCTGACACAAAATTTGGAAACACAAAGGTTCTTTGAGCCATGATTTTTGTGTTGGCTGAAATCATCATTCAACAAATATCAAGTTTCCAGGCAACTTTTTGCATAGAAAGTATCAAAAAGTCAAAAAAATTGGGTGTGGCATGGACACCTAGGGCCTATGCCATCGGGAAAAATGAAAATCAACAAATTTCACTAAATGGATTAAGTACCAGGTAATTTTCCATTTGTGTGGGATGCCGTCGTGATCTGACACAAAATTTGGAAACACAAAGGTTCTTTGAGTCATCATTTTTTGTCGGCTAAAATCATCATTCAACAAAAATCAAGTTTCCATGCAACTTTTTGCATAGAAAGTATCAAAAAGTCAAAAATTTGGGTGCGGCATGGACACCCAGGGCCTATGCCATTGGGAAAAATGAAAATCAACAAATTTCACGACATGCATTAAGTACAAGGTAAATTTCCATTTGTGTGGGATGCCGTCGTGATCCGACACAAAATTTGGAAACACAAAGGTTCTTTGAGCCATGATTTTTGTGTTGGCTGAAATCATCATTCAACAAATATCAAGTTTCCAGGCAACTTTTTGACATTTTTTGCATAGAAAGTATCAAAAAGTCAAAAAATTGGGTGCGGCATGGACACCTAGGGCCTATGCCATCGGGAAAAATGAAAATCAACGACTTTCACGACATGGATTAAGTACCAGGTAATTTTTCCATTTGTGTGGGATGCCGCCGTGATCTGACACAAAATTTGGAAACACAAAGGTTCTTTGAGTCATCATTTTTGTGTTGGCTGAAATCATCATTCAACAAATATCAAGTTTCCAGGCAACTTTTTGCATAGAAAGTATCAAAAAGTCAAAAAAAAATTGGGTGCGGCATGGACACCTAGGGCCTATGCCATCGGGAAAATGAAAATCAACAAATTTCACGAAATGCATTAAGTACAAGGTAAATTTCCATTTGTGTGGGATGCCGTCGTGATCTGACACAAAATTTGGAAACACAAAGGTTTTGTGAGCCATGATTTTTTGTCGGCTAAAATCATCATTCAACAAAAATTCAAAAATCAAGTTTCCATGCAACTTTTTGACATTTTTTGCATAGAAAGTATCAAAAAGTCAAAAAAATTAGGCGCGGCATGGACACCTAGGGCCTATGCCATCGGGAAAAATGAAAGTCAACAGATTTCACGAAATGGATTAAGTACAAGGTAGTTTTCCATGTGTGTGGGATGCCGTCATGATCTGACACAAAAATTGGAAACACACAGGTTTTTTTGAACCATCCTTTTTTGGTTGGATTTCAGCATTTGACAGCGCAAATTCATTGATGAAATCCAACCTAAACTTGGGTCAGTGTTGCGGTGACTGGTGTCAATGCTAGTCTGATCCTTTTTTCCACAGGGTTGCCTTGCAACATGGAACGCCAAATCGGTTTGAAAGGGACGGGTTTTATTTTCTGATGTCCTTTATTTCATTTTGCTGCCAGGTTCCTGCCCATGGGTCGGTGGATAGCTCAGTGAGCGCTTTGGGTGCCACACGTGTCATCGCACACGGGACCATTACCAAATCGAAATTTGTAATTCAGTTTGGCACCAAAGGGCAAACAAGTCATCGCTGCCCTCTGACAAAATGGATCAATTTTGAGACAGCCGGCTTGATGTTTCAGTGTGCTCGTGATGCATGGCATTATACACACTGATGTTCCACCTTCCGACCTTGCACCCTTGACTTTGTATCCCTGCAGCCATTTCTCAATTTCTCCATTTGATTGGTGTCCGACGTGTCCGACACCATGTCGAACAAGCGGAGATTGTCCGCTGATGGGACCAAGCCCTTGAAGTTCAAAAAGGTCAAGGAGGAAGAAACCACACTGGAGATACCTGCCGAATTGGCCTATGTCAAAATGTTTGGGGCATGGCTGTGTCTAAGTTGCAGCAAGGAACAGTAAATGAACTAGTATACATGTGTTGCCACCTTTGTCTTCAGGTTGCTCGGAAAGCAAGTCTTGCACGTGAAACTTCCACGAGGTCAAATCGCTTGGAGAACAGTCCCAGAGCATTGGCGAGTACATGGCCGCGAAGTTCAATTCGAAGGACAGCATCGTGGTCCCACGTGTGTTGAAGCCATTCAGTTTATTAAAGTGGTCATGCTGCGCACTTCCAAGGAAGGATTGCTTCAGTTTGTGCGGTTTGTCGACGAGCATTTTCCCCCTACAAAGAATGTGCCGCTGCCTCAAGTCTGTGATTGCAACGCTTAGTCTTCTGATTCACTGTTCATGTGCTATTCTCCGTTTTTTTTCTTGCGCTCCCTCTACCTTGCCTTTCAGGGAGTATTCGGCCCCTACGATTCTGAAGTGTGCCAATTCCAGCGCCTACTTGCGGCCCTGGCATTTGCCATGGGAGCCGCAGATGGGATGCAAAGGTCTGGTAGAGCCGGAGTCTTGACTTATTTTTTCAACATCTCAAAGCTAAAATGGGCATGGGTGTCAAACTTGCAGTCGAGAAGGCACTTGTTAGTCACAAGGACACCCACCTGCAACTGTGCCAATTGATGCTGCTCCACGGGTGCCTGGCTCAAATTCAAACCTTGCAAATTTCAAGTTGTGGGCAACACGCTGTTACTTGACATGCCTTTTTGTAGGAATTTTGGCAAGTCAATATCAATGCTTGGCGGCCAGGTGCACGACGGATGCCAATGCAGTGGGAGTCGAAAAGATTGCCATCACTTTTGTGGATCCTTCGGTTGCTGCCCCGACGCATAAGCTCTCAGCCAATGATGTTGCTCCGGAGTGCGATGGCATGTTGTCACCGACAGATGTCTTTGTTGTGAAAGGATGGAGTCGAGGGATTTCACTGCTGACAATCTTGTTGGCTGCCTTTGAGAGCCCGGAGTTCCACCAGGTGCCCCAGGGTGAAGGTGACATTTTTTTTTTCAGCCACAGTGAATTAATGCATTTGGCAGTGCTACGGCAAATTTGTTATTTGACAGAATCGGAGGCATTGCCACGAGACATCAAGGAGAATCTTAGCTCAACAACCGGTTTCGCTACTATATGCCCCGGTTTTGCCAGGAAATTTGACTGGTGATAGTCATGGTGAGATTTTGTCTCCCAGGTCCTTCGCTACAATTCATGCTACTGTGGTGATTGACGAGCCCCACCTTCTTGTGAGCTCAAACAGAGGCCGTTGCTGCTGTGAATTGCTTTCCCTGCTTTCCCTTTCGTCCAGTATAGAGAATTCAAGTCCAGTGCATTCCGGCGTGCCCCCGTGCAGGGTCCACAATGGCGAGCCAGTTGCGCAGGAAGCCGAATGCATTTAATCTTTTGCATCAAATGAACCTACTTCGCAAGTTCAACTCTTTGAAGGATGGAGAAGAGGCCAGGTGCCAGGTGTTTGGTTCAGGCTAAAGTTTTTGAATGTCAAGGTGGGGTCAATGTGCTGCGCGAAAGCGCCATCAGGTCTGGGCAAAAGCGTGTGAGATCTCAGAAGCCTATGTCGTTGGCAAGGCGGAGTCACAGGCTGCACTCCACCTTTACAATGACGTTTCTCCCAGGATTGCATTGAGACTGTCGAAGTTGGTTCAGCACCTGAACAAAACATCTGTCCTGTGCGTTTTGCAGTTCTGGATTGCTTTTGAAGTTGTAGATCGCCACTTGCTGTTTAGTTAAGGCAACATTCAATGGCCAAGTTCTTGACTCATGAGAGCATAGCTGCGGGCGCTTGGAACCAGAACTATTGCAGTGCCACAGACACAATGCAAGCCTGGCAAGAAACCCTGACCAACACCGAGCAGATTCTGGACATGACGGTCGACCGGATGTCTCGTGATTGGTTAAGTTTGGCTCCAAAGATGCGCAAAGCCTTCACCCTGAAGGATGTTGACCCTTGTTAGCAAGTGCACAGTGTCGGCTACCATGTTTAAAAGGCCGGCCTGAAGTTGAAGTGTTTGTCTTGGTGACACGAAGTGTGGTCGTCAAACTCCTTCATGTCAAGTGCAATTCTGCAGGCTTGATTTTCTTGTACCCCAAATCTTGACAAGCTTGACCCATGCCATGATTCTCATACCCAATGACTGTTCATGATCCAGCCTAGGAATACTACCAACGCAGCAGTGCAATTTTTCTGGCTTGCATGAGCCGCTTCGAATCTGAGTTCCCAATTGACTTTGTGGAAAAGGAGCGCCCTCGCATCAAACGGTCGCTCCCTGGCAGCACTTTTTGGGCGCCTGCTCGTTCACGAGCATTGTTTCGATCCAACACCCATTCAGCTCCTGAGGTTTGATTTGAAACATGGTGACGCAGAGCTGGTGGGAATGCTGGAGGGAGCTCCGCCAGTTGATTTGGAGCGGTGTGGGATCTTTCGTACAGCCATTGCAAAATTTCAGAGACAGGCAGGATGCACTTTGTTCAAGGATCACTTTGTTCCAGGTTTGTAGTTTGCAGTTGCTTGGCAAGCTCTTCCAGGCTGAGGACGAAAAGGTGAAGGCTTCTGAAGAGCAACTTGGATGGCCTGCTAGTGACTGCTAGTGGTCAGTTGCGTCAAGAGTCCCAAGAATCCTGCTTTAATTAATATGCTTTAATCATCATTTTTCAGGCTGGCCAAACGAATGGCCGAGATCACCAGTGAAAGCACCGAACTCAAGATGAACAATGATTTTGCGCTTATGGAGGGGTGGCTTGCTCGAGCCGCTGATTTTGCAGCACGGCAGGTGCCAAATCCCGATAAGTCCCGTTGTTGGTGTTAAGATTTTCTTTCTCCTTCACACCTGGTGCATCCCATTGTTGCTGTTGCTAGTGTTTGTCCTGTCATATTCACACCTGCTCCATTTTGGATGCTTTTGCCAGAGAGTGGCTTTTGACAGGGGGCGCTTGACATGGCCTACTTGTCACGGCGCTGCGAAGAGGGGCGCAGGGCAGTCGCCGCACTTCAGGGCAAAACTCACAGGTACAAAGGGGTGCCAAGCCTATCAGATGCACATGCAGACTTGCTGCAATTTCAATCTGACTGTGGTGGAACGCCAAGCTCGTTTCTTGCCTGCAGCCTGTGAATTCAGCAAATTTAAGTTTAAGTGAGTTTGTCAAGTTGCCAAGCTTGAGGTTGAACATCATGATTTTGGATGCGACTGTGTGGCCAAGCCGTCGCTTGTCATTGCGCACGTTAAAGAAATAGCTTTGCAAGCGAACTTTTGAGCAACGCAGTCGTTGCTTAGACAAAATTTGTCTATAAATCAAGGCAGTGTGTTGGTCGATGATGCCCTGGACGTCGCAAAGAGCATCAGCTGCGCAAACCCGAACGCAGTGATTTTTGTGTTAGCCCCGCAGATTCATCCCAGCACGGACCAGTCGAGTGTCATTTCCCATCGTCGTTCTCTTGAAGACAAGATGATGGCGATTCTTTGCTGCATGTGGATTGGTCTGATACGTTCCGCTATGTGAGTGACACCACTCTAAAACTAGTATAACTAGTGCTTGCGGCTTCGTACATGTCCATCCCCACCTCTACTTGAAGTGGTTTTCTGACTGAGTTCGTTGGACATCACTGATGTGAGCCTCACCTTCTGTGATACCGGGCACGGTGGCGACAAGAGGAAACGATCCCAACCATGTTTCTTGGAGTTAGATAACAGAGTCACGCCGCAGCGCAGTCTGACTGTGAATGTGTTATTGTTTTTTGTTGGGCATTCTGCCTGTTTGTTTTCTCTTAGCCCAGGCTTTGCAGCAGTGAGTAGCTTGCACAAGACCTTTGGTTTCAGCAAGAGCCATGTCTTTTTGGGAGTTCTGGGTCCCATCACCCGGGCTCGAGTTACAGAGTTGATTTCGGACGATGCTGACAGACCATGTTCCCCTGCGCATCGTGAGTCTTGACTGCGCAGAGTTGAGTTGTTGCCTTGAAGGGACGTTCATCCTTGGTTTCCTGTAATGTTGTGTCAAGCAGTATGTCCTTAATTGCAGTAAATACTGCTGGGTCCCAGGTGCAGCAGCGCGGCGTCATTGGAACCAAAGAGATTTTGCTCAAGCTCATTGATGGTCTGGACATCCCGCCTGATTCACGGGTGTTTGTCACCGATTTGACCCCGAACAAGTGACTTGCCCACACAGGAAGTTTGAAATTAGGATGCAGAAACTAGCACGCTGATAGCCCCCAGCTTTCTGTAGTCAGTTTCGAGCAGCATTGAGCGTTTCATTTGCCATCGGTGTTGTTGCAGGTTCAACGAGTGGGGCCGCGCTGTGTGGGAGTTGCAGAAGGCTTGCAAAGAGTCTGGCCGTGGCCATGACTGGCGCTATACTTGCTACTATGATGAGGATTCTGATTGGGGACTGGCTACTGATATGAAAGCTGCAGCAAACAGCATGAGCGGCATCATGTACTCAGTCAGAAGCTTAGTCATTTGATTTCCACACGACACTTGGAATTTCAGACATTATTTATCAAAGTTTTGCCATTGCCATGTTGCGCCCTGCATTGTGGAGAAGAGTTTCAGGAATGGTGGGACAAGTCAGCCGAAGCCGGCCCGCAATCCCGTCCGGGAGAGCAGTTCCAAGAAGTGAAGCCGCAGCTGGAAGTCTTGGCAGTAGATTCCGAGAAGAACATCTTGAAGTTTTTCAAATGCAGTCAAGAAATAAGAAAAAGTCAGTGGTTGAGATGGTAAGTATGTCACAAAGAGGTTCCTTTGCAAACCTTCGCTGTCACATTTGAGCTGCGGTGCCAAGGCTTCCGGATTCCATCCTGGCCTCGCTGGGGCATTGCAGCGCCAAGTTCACCAAAGCACTGCAGGTTTGGAATGAGGATCATTCCTTGACAATGCGTGGCAACTGTTCAGAGTCTCAGCCTCCAACTCCAACACCTTCAAGAGGTGAACGTTCAACCCCCAGACGCACGCGCTGCTCGCCTGCCTTCACCGCCGCTGACCAGCCCAAGAACTTGCAGAAAGTCATTGAGCCAGCAACGGTGTTGTCCGAAGACGCTTTCAGCGCTGACAAAGTGCACCTTGTCTTTGAAAATGATTCATTGATCCAAAGTAGCAGCAGGCTGTCTTGTCAAGGCCACCCTGCATCCAACTAGTTTTCTTTGAATCAATAATGATGGTGGCTGCCAGGGTCATTGGCCAGAGCACCATTGTTGGCATCGACAAGGTCGGGATTGTGGCCACGGACACTTATGAACTCTGGCTTCTCAATGACACCGACGAGTTGATCGAGCTGGATGCTTGCGAATTGTTTGGCTTCGGTATGGGAGCTTATGTTGCCAAAGCGGCAGGCTGGGCGATATATTGTTATATTTAATTTCAGTCATTGACCATTGTCCAGCATGACCGCAACCCAGTTCCAATGTTTTGCACGATGATGTTTTGCTTTGGAGGAACGGCTCGCAGTGAGGGCGACAAGTACATCCCATGGATTTTGAACAAGGACACGGATGTCGTCATCCAAGTCGCAGAGTCTGGCAAGTCGCCGACATGTATCTCTGAGATGGCGTGCCAAGCGGCGCAGCGGCAAGGGCTGACTGAGATGACCCTCGTGGATCACAGTTTGACGCAGCGCGTCCAGGACTTGATTGAATCATGCTTAGTTAATATAACATTGCATGTATTAGAAGGGGCCTTCGTACATGAAGTGTAGCTATCATTCTCGGGTGTGGGCTGGCTGGCTGGCGGCCATCCCCTCGAGGAGAATGAGCCGTTGCCTTTTCGTTATGATGTTCAAGTGAATGGGCGGACCAACGTGTATGAGCACAAGCCCTTGGCAGATTCGGTGGACCGCTTGGCTGTCCGCCCCACCTTGTTTGGCCTGATCTTTGCTGGAAATTTTGGGAAGCTCCCAACGACGCAGGCCCAGTTGGCATGGGAAGTACTGTGGACGCAACAGGTTTAATTTTGAAACCGGCTTTAAATCATTATTTTGCGATGTTATGCAGGCTAAATCATGTGCTTGCCAACAATTTCGCAACAATAATTCCCCACAATTTGACATTTATTAGACCAGACTTTGCAGACGCGCCGCCGAGGTATCAACAGATCACACGCTGGTGAAGCCAATCAAGCCCAAGTTCTGGTTAGTGGGAAAGCTAGCCCTTGAAGCGCATTCGTGCGTAAAGCTTGTGTAGGTGAGGTCAACGCATGTGGGCATATGAACCGGCCAATGGCTCAAACTTTGGCAGTCCAGGGGATGTGTTGGAAAAGTGCCGCTGGTGCAAGTCGTTTTGCACCGTAGTGGTGGCGTGCAATGTGCGCTTAAATTGTAGCTTGATAGACGTCGAATTCACATCAATGTCACATGTCATTGAACATTGTATGATTTTGCGTGTGTCACGCATACTAGACACAATGTATCGCAAGATTTTAGCTTCTTATGCTGCTTGGCCCGGTGTCGCTCTTGGGATGTCGGCCCTGGAACCTGTTGAAACTTTATCGGATGCGGAGGCTGCACCACCTGTGACCAAAGTTGAACCCAAGGCGGCTGCTCCGAAAAAGCCACCTGCCAAAGGCAAGGGGGCTGCTGCCAAGACTAAGACGGCTACTACCAAGACGGCGGCCAAAAAACAGAAGAAGACTGCCAAGGTTCCTGATGACAGTGAGCCTCCCGCTGCTGATCCTCCTGCTGAGTCTCCTGGTCCTAGTGAGGCTTCTGATGAGGAGGGTTCGAAGCTGAAAGCTAAGACAAAGAGTGCCCCCAAGAAGGCATTGAAACGTCCAGCGTCGTCTGCAGGGTCAGCCCAGCCAGCCAAGAGGCCAGCTTCCAACTTGCCAAGTCCGTCGGGCGAGCTCAAGGTCAAAAAGTACCCCTACACCAAGAAGGGAATTTGGGCAATCTCTGTGAACGGCAGGGAGTACGTTCAGGCCGGAACAGAGTCAGTGCTGCAGTGTGGGAAGGGCCTCTTTTGAAAATTCCGGCGAGAGGAATGATAGCAGATAGCATCTGCAGCGCAGGTTCATAAGCATGACGAGCTCCCGGATGAGAAGCTCATGGAAATCGTAGTTTCAAACCCAGATGAAATCAGCACAGTAATTTGCAGATTGTTTTACTTGAGACAAATCAAATTGTTTGCAAGGATTGATTGAACGAGTTTTGGTTCCAAGGACTTGATGGTTGATCACCTCAAGAAAGGCATGTCCAAGGAAGATGGGAAAGTCATGGCGGCCTCGCTCTCAGCTCTCAAATTTTGATCAATGTTCGCTCTTCGCTCTATGGTTTGAACATTGTAGCCCAAAGTAGCACATTTTCATTCCAGTCTCCGGCTCTGAGGCTTCTTTGAAGGAGGCAGCCTTGGAGAAGATTCGTGCCGGCCGAATGGCAGACGCAGCAGCAGCTCCTGGTGCAGCTGCTGGGGCTGACGGCGGGGTTGCAGACGGTGAGGCTGCTGATGGTCTCTCGTTTGAAGGTGGCGAGGAGGAAGCCCCCGTTGAGGATGTGGCCCAGGATGTTGACTGAGTAGTTTCTAGCTTGTGAGCCAGAACGCGTGCCAGCCGAGAAGTTTTGCGTCGGATGGAAAAGAAGTGAGCCTTGAAGGTTTGGTATCTAGGTCCTTCCATTGCCCGGAAAACAACTAATGACTTTCTGGATGCCACATTGCTACTTCACACTGTGCCACCTGTGGGACACCTGTTGGGGCCAGAACGTTTTTTTTTTGGGCGGCCCCACCTGTGATTTCGAACCAGAGCGTCCAGTGATGGTTTCTGCGTTTGCGTGTGACATTTTTGATGGGGCTATTATTATCATCCTACTTTTCGTGTTTCAACATACCATCACTTTGAGCATTGAAAGATTGAGAGTGATAGTGGTATTATTTGATTTCGCGTCTAGTTCCAGGGTAATATTATATAGTTGATTGCGCTTTGAAATTGCCGTTCAAAGATGACAGTTGACAGGCACCACCATTTTGTACGCCATGAAGTGCCCACTTTCTATGGCCCTACCATTTTGTAGGCTGGAGAAGTGGTCCCAAAGCCATTTTGTAGACAAAATAGAGCACTGCGACCCCCACCCGGCCCCACCCAGGGAATGGCAAAGACGATGTTCAAAGGTCCAACCTTGACATTTCTCAGCTTGCGTTCGAACAGATGCAATTTTCCAGGTTGTGGTTGTCTGTGTTGAGATTGCCGCCTTCGCCCAGACTCATGGGACCCATAGTCTTGGGGTGGAAATTTACGCCACAGACGGCGTTTGGACAAGATGGCTGACCAATCCAAAGAAGGATTGCAACGATGACCTGACTGACCGAGTGACAGCGCAAAAGAAGTGCTGCGGTTGCAACTGAGTTGAAGAGCATGGCAAGTCCATGCTTGTTTTTGGTACAGGTTTCGGCGATGTGATTGCCATCACGATGTGATTGTCAACATTAATGAGCTGCTGCTAGCTTTCTGTCCCGCCCACCCTGAGCCTGCCCTTCATGTTGGAAGTCATTTCTTCGCGGCTTGCGCTGCTCCTGTTGCTGGCAGATGGTAGCGGAGCATCATTGTCAATGAATGGCTTCATGAGCCAATTTCAAAGCGTATGAGACTCCGCCACTACGGCTGGTATTTCTATCCAGCTCTCGCCCGCTGGGATGATGATTTTGATGCTGCCTGCAAACACCCTGCAAACTGGCAACCCTGGTTGCTGTTTGCAACCCCGGTTTGAAAGAAAAAGTCTTTATCTTCCATGGCACAACGAGGTCAACAACCACTTCAAACTCCAAGAGGAACAATTCGAGGCTGACCGAGACCACGTCCTATGAGGGTCACATGGTGGACCACAGATCTTGCGCAACTGCTCGATATACAATAATTTGCGCAACATGTGCCTGATCGAGAGCAAGGAGATCGAGATCATCAGTGAGATCTATCGAAGAGCATCAAAGAAAGATGATGATGATCCAATGGGCCAAAGTGGACAAGGGCCCGCGGCCAGCCGGCCCCGGAGCCGAATCCACGAGTGCAGGGAGTGGTGCTGAAGGGGTAGGGCCCGCGGCCGGCCCCGGTAGGCAGAATGTTCCCGGCACTCTGCCCGATCCTGAAGAGGAGTACCAGATCTCCAGAGACAAAGGTCAGGTCATGGACGCCATCGACGCATTCTTCGCACTGGCGGATGACAACAACGTGTGCACCAGATGTGGAGAGAGTGGGCACACCAACTATGAGTGCGGCGCCAAGGATGATGATCCAGTCAAGATGGCGATCGTCAACTTGAGAAAGAAGCTTCAAGGAGAGGAAGCTGGTGATGAACCCCAAGGTGGAGACAGCAAGGAACCACAGAGCGCGTATCAAGCCACAAGGGAAAGGAATACATGTTCCTACGACCCCTTCCATTGTCGGTGATTGGTGACCGAGCTCATGGTGAATTGAGCATCAATGGCGTGAAGATCGATGAGAAGGGTCATGCGACGAGAAACGCATTGGACCAACCCGTCGACATTGCCAGCCAGAGAGGAATCACAATGACATGCAAGGACGTGATTGAGGCCGGCAAGTACTCAGACCACAAGATGTACAGGAAGCTCCCGGTCAAAACCAGCGTCGGCAAGTTGAAGATCCTACCCTTGAACGGCGGCAAGTTCTACTCAAAGAACTTCGCAGGTGCAGGAGTTGAATTTCCACTTCCAACGGATGAAAATACCAATCAGGTCATCCTGGAATATCCTGGACAAGTGGGAAGATGGCTACAGCTACTACTTCAACACAGCACTACGACATCACGTCGGGAAGGAGAGAGTCAGAGAGAAGGGAATCCAGTATTATCGCGGCCTACGATGCGATGAAGCAGGCTGATCATGGAGTTTCTCCACCACGGCTGGATCTTCGACCACGGGAAGGTCAAAACCGAGGACGATGGGCTCATCCCTACTTGTTTTAGGGAGGATCGTGTCAATTTGATGATCAAGACCGCGTGTGCCGAGTTCCAGAAGCAGGGCAAGGTTCGGTTTCAGTTCCTTTGCATCGTGATGGACTCCAGCTACACGGAGCCTGATGAACCTCTCAAGAAGTTCCCGGATGGTGACGAAGACATCCACAAGATCATCGAACGAGACGGAGAAGTCTTCTTGGCGCCAATTGCTGTCAGGTCGCCAGGAGCTCATTCATCGCGTGAACGAGACTTCCGCCTTGACAACACGAAGATTTGTCATCCCATCACCACCAGACTTGCCGATGAATTTCAATATTGCTATCATGTCACGGAGATGGCGAACATGAATGGCATCATCAAAGAAGGACTGCAACCAGGTGAACACCGAGGGGGACGAACCCAGGTGTTCCTCAATCCATTTGCGCCATGGGACGAGCGCTACAAGACCGTTTTTTAGGTTGGGAGTTGACAATGCCTCTGGGCAGCTGACGATTGATGGGAACATTCCGTTCTCTGAAGTGGCAGGAGCCTGGTACCAGACCAATGCCTACAAATGGGAAAGATTGCTCGTGGATTCAGGAGGTATCCAGCTTGTGCGATCCATCAAAGAACCACCCAAGATCGCAACAATCGTGTTGTCAAGAGGATTGCCCGAGCACTGCTCGACGAGATCAGCCCCGAGGACAACGTCCCTTACTATGACGAGTTCGTCCGAGATGTTGGGGGGGTCGAGAGCATGACTGGAGCCATGGCCTACCAGAGTGATCTGAGAAACAGGCTTGTAACGTTCATCGCCGAAAAGTACGTCCCAAGGGAGACGGGCAGAATCATTTGCCCGGCATGCCTGACCGAGACACCGAACAACCTGTCCATCTGCATCAGGTGTTCTGGATCGCTTGTCAGCTGCGGGAAAGAACCACCAAACAGAATGGAGGTGTACTTCCTGGGGTACCTGAACAAGAGAAACCAACGAGTAGCAATGGATCCGGTGACGCAGAAGGAGATTTTGACATGGACAAAGACGAGATCGATCGTTTGGTGAAGGAGACCAAGGCCAAAGCTGAGGCGAGGACGGACGACGATGTCGACATGTCTGGGCCCCAACCAAGCAGGCCAGGCCATAATGGGAACGGAGGACAGGCGAGACCAACTCCTCAACCTAAGACCACCGTTGAAGGTGAAGGAAAGGAGAGGCAAGAAGCCGAGGATGAGCGTGAAGCAGAAGGAAGAAGAAGAAGAAGAAGAAGAACGCGCAGAAAGGGGGCGCGAAAAGCAAAGCCAAATACCACAGTGGGCTACTAGGTTAGTCCCAGGATGTGGTCTTCATTGCGTCGATGTTGCAGAAAATGAAGATGCTGTGGACTCAACAGCACGCATCATTGATAATTTGAGCTTGATGCACGTCAAAGACAGCTACCGCATCTTCTACCTCTACATGGTCTCCACACCCGCTCAGACCTACATCAAGCATGTTAGGAGCAACGGCATGATTCCGGAGTATGACGAGAACATCCCTTTTGTCGGGGAGGACGCGCACGGCGACTTCCGGGAGCCCACAGAGGAGGAGTACAAGATAACATTCGAGCGGATCAGCAAAAGCGGAAAATTTGACAACCGTGACCTCGAAATGTATCTCGGAGGAGTCGAAGGCCTCAAGTTCTTGTGCAAGCTCATGAAGTATTTGGTGCAGACTGGAGTGACACCGCAAGTCATCGCCAACAAGCTCAACGACGTGGCAGATGCAGATGATGAGAACAAGGCAGAGGTCCGGCGTGAGGTTACAGACTTTGTCCGGAAGATCATCGCGGGAGCCTTCGCGATCAGATCCTATGACTACTTCAGAGTCAATCCACCGGAGCGTGAAGACCATCTTCATGTCGATCCAGTATCATTGGTGTGCGCAGTGACAGAGAGAGTGAGATCATTTGCGGTCATGGTAACCCTCAACATCCCTCAACAAGGTTGGCGTGGGATTACCCGCTGGACTTGAAGAGTCTGGGAATGCAAATTGAGATCATCTCGACAGAGTGATGCACAACTGGAAACCAATATCCGGTTGTTAGATCCTGCAGATCGCTCCAATATCCGAGACTATGTGAAGGCGATCACTAATGTTCCTGGAGAAGAATTCGGACAAGAAGGTGGAGCAGCGTCGGGCAGCAAAGGGACGACCAAGAGACGCCGACGCTGAGACTACATCACGGTGGACCACTATACTGAGAGTGGCATGAGAGCGGGACTAATTAGAATTTTGATGCTGGTGCATGCGAGATCACACCTAACGGTCTCCGTGCACGGGCGGACTTTTGAGTATAAACTGAGGTGGGCGACCTCAGTAATATGAGTCCCGAAATTTTCCTTAGCAAGTGTCATGTCAGGACCGTACATGAACCGGCGTAGGCCATTCGGCGGCGCAGGGGATTGCATGATCCGACGTAGGCCATTCGGCGGCGTCGGTGACTGCTGCGGTTAGTGATCACGAATCAAAGGTGATGTGACGTAGGCCATTCGGCGGCATCACTGACCCTGAGAGGAGTATCGTTGTTCCTGTACAGCACCAGCGATGGGAGTAGATCTACGTCTCACAGTCTCACACTTGTAGATTCGAAGGGACTCACATAGAATCCCTTTTTTTGCACAGCACAGCACAGCACTAATTCGAAACGTGGCTATTTTTAACCCTGACGATTGCTCCTGTGCCCAGCGAATTGCTTAGCCGGGCATGGGGGGTGTGAATGTAACATAGATCAGGGGAGCCACTTGTGATAGAGCGTTTGTCTTGCCTGCAGCGGTCCGTAACATGAGACCACGTCCGCTGCATGGCTCCAGGGACGCGAATCACGGCACTATCTCGCTGCAATAGAAAAGGAGTGGTCACTGCCGGCTGCTGGGAACTACGAGGCCAAGAATAGCAACTACAAGGTCAGGTTGGTACCGGAAACCACTCACAGTATATATATATATGTGTATATATATATGTTTCAGGTTACATCAAGTAGTACAACTATGTACCATGCATGTATCATGCATCGATATGCATGCAATATGTATATGTATATATATATATAGACTATATAGACTATATGTGTATTATATTGCAGATGGACGTATGTGTGTTTGCATGACAGTTCACCAGTGGTTTCCATGGGTGTCAACGCTCCCCCAGTGGTTGTCCAGCACTAGGTAGACCGCGTTTCCTGGAATTGCCTCCGCTGCCTGTAGGGAGCTCGGATCCAGAGTGGGTCACACAGACCTGTTTCGAATTCTTCTTTCAGCAGCGTGGGTCCTGATCAACTGAATTCTGAATTCGTTTCCGAGATTCCCTCGGCCCATACACGGCAGAAACTGAAGAACTTGTTGGCACAAAAAGATGGGATGCAAATGCACACAACATGAAAACGTTTTTGAGCAAAAGCGCAAGCGAAAGACTAGATATTGTGAGATATCATATGATACCGTCTATCACACAGTACACTTCATTCATAGTCCATCAGTTTGGTATTCCTGATATCTCAGGTGCAACACACGCCGCCTCAGCTCCCACGGAGCACAAACCTTCTTGCCTGCACGCAACTGGGACAGCCATATCTTGAAGGATCTTGAAGGGTATAAACAATTGGCATTCTGAGGGGGGCGTATTGCCTAACAACCCTACCAGCCACCAGCCTAGCACCTAGAGAGACTTTAAAGGGCAGTTCCACTTTTTGGTTCTGTATACGGGAAGGGGATGAAAAGGGTTTAGGAACGTGCTGCTAGTGTGCACATCCATCCACATCCTACTGATGAAACATACAGGCAGATGTTGAAGGCGGTACCGGTGGTATAAAATAGAGCTGTTCCCTTGTAGAAAACATTCAGGTGAAGGCGGTACCTTTAGCGTTTAGTATGCGTTTCATAGACATTGGATTGGATCATCTACTAACGCTAGCGTTAAGTCGTATCAGCTCCTAAAAGTCGTATCGGGAGGCCGTGCACCTGGAAAAAGTTCAAGTTTGGCATCACCACAACTTTTAGTAATTGAACGATTTCATTGTTTTTGGCCGTGCGCCTGGGAAAAGTTCAATTTTTGTATCGCGTTGATTTTTTGAAACTTATATTTGATCATTCTTTCAATGGGGCAAACGCTGGTTGAATGAATATATAAAGATGCTACATGAACAAAAGCAATGCGAATGAATGGAAAATAATGCAAGTACTGTAGGTGGTGAAAGGTGTGCCTGTTCAATTCCAAAAAGGTCTGCCTAGCCGGAGTTCCGTTGGGAGAAAGAATCAGTAGCGCGCTCATGATTTATCATGTTAGTGTTTCCGAACCCCACTGTTCAGGCTCAGGATCACCCCGGTAGTGGAATTCTTGTTGTATGGAGGAAGGAGTATATACTTTTTTTGTCGGTGCCGGTTGCCGCCCCCGACAAAAAAAGTATATACTCGGAGGAAGCGCTGCAGGACAGCGCAGCCCAGGTGAGCCCGATCGATGCGGGGGCGAGCCTTGCAGCTTGGGGAGGAAGTCCCCTTGGCGAAGCAGTTGGCTGAGCGGGCAGGAGTAGCATACAACGAGGGGATCCTGAATCTGGTGAAAGGACAGGTACAAAGCGCCGCTGACGACCTGGAATTGGAGGCTAGGCTAGCTGGCTCCAAGAAGTCACCTGGCCAGCAGGCCATAGATGATGCGGTGATCGCAATGGAAAAGGTGAGGTCTGAGGCTGCCAGTCTGGCCGTGAGGCTCTTGTACAATGAGCTGGAGATGATGGGTGTTTTCATAGTGGCGCAGATTGGCGTCACAGCCAACCCTGAGCGGGCGAAGATGTCCCTCCTGGGCCGATTCAGGCCTTCAACCGTGAGGCGGTACCTTGCCTATTGGCAGGGCTTCCGGAAGTGGGTAGGCCAGACATATGGCAAATTTCCCACCTCTGGCGAGCAGCTGGTCGACTATCTGTTGGCCCGTGAAGAGGAGGGAATGGGCGCTTCGGTGCCACTTTCAGTGGGGAAGGGTGTGGCATGCTTTGAGAAGCTGGGAGCATTCTCTCAAGACACCTGGATGGCCTCCAACCCACTGGTAGAGGCAGTTGTGAGAGACTTGCTCCGGAAGCTTGAGGAGGGAGCCCCTCCTCGCAGACGAGCGCCGAGGATGCTGTCAGCATTCATACCTGCGCTGGAGAAGTTGGTGGTCAGTTGCGCCAAGCTCCTCAAGATTTGTGGCTCGCTCAGGTTTGACGACCTGGCACACATGAGACAGGAGGCTCTGTGCTCCTACGATGGGAAGCTCTCAGGCTTGATGAAGCGAACAAAGACCACAGGTGGGGGAAGCGGGTGAAGGAACTTCCCTTTCATGTGTCGGAGCACGCCTGGGCAGTGCATGAAAAGTGGCTCACCGTTGGTTTGGAAGTTCTGAGCCGTGCATTGGGGGACACATATGAGCTCCTAGTGCCGGCAGGCTGGAGCCGTGGGGCCGCTGTGGGCGACTACATCATGTCATACCAGGAGGCAGTGGCATGGAGTACAGAAGTTATGCAAGAGTTGAAGGATGCTGGTGGGAACGCTCTCATCCCGCATGGGTGGGAGCGCTTTTGGACGGAGCACAGTGAGAGGGCCACTCTCTCGAGCGGCCTCGCCGCACTAGGCGTCCACAAGGGAGGTGGAAACCGGAGGGGTCTGACCAATACGCCAGGACCTAGAATGCAGCGGTGGGTAGAATGCAAGCTACCTTCGCAGTGCCTGTGAGAGAGGGAAGAGGCTACACGGCCTTTGACGAGGGCGCCATCTTTGAGGAGCTCAAGGTCTGGCTCTGCGAGAAGTGGGCCGTAGACCGGAATGAGGCTGCGGCAGCAGTGGACGAGTGTAGCTCATCTGATGAGGACAGCAGCTCCGGTCCAAAGAAGCGGAAGGTGGAGCGCCTGGAGCCTGGAGGAGAGGTCCGAGGGGTACATTGTGGTTGACAACCGGATAGATAGGGGGAAGCTTCACCGTGCCGGGAAATACGGCTGCTGGATGGCGAAACAAAGGAAGTTCAAGAGGGCTACGGTGTATGAGACATACCCGGACGAGGGTACATACACCTCGAGGTGCAGGCTCTGCTGGCAGGAGCTGAAGGCGGAGCTCTCTTCAAGCGACTCAGAAGATGAAGTCGCAGAATGCGAGGGAAAGGAAGAGGCGGAGCCAGTGGTGAGCAGCCGGCTAAGTGAGAGCAGCGACCATCTTGGCTTTGGGGGGTCGACGGGCCCCGAACACGGGGGCCTGGGAGACCTGAGGAACGTACAGTTTGACGTGTGGCACGAGTGACACTTGCCACTGGAGAAAAACTTGCATATTGCAGGTGCCCGGCAGTGCTTCCTGTGGAGCCCACAGGTAGGGGTCGCACCCCATAGATCCCCAGGTCGCACCTGGGGCGGTGTTTCTACTCCTCTGGGAGTCCGAGGGTCGCACGCTTGGCAGGGCTTTAGGGTCGACTGGGTCGCATCCGTAGTCAGGGCTCAAAGGGGGCCGCAAACATGCCGCCGGTGGTTTTCACGGTAGAGCAGGAGGCGGAGGCGCTGAAGAGGGGCAACGCCGATCTGAGGTACCTCTTTGAGAGGAATGAAGTGCCGAAAGACATTGCAGCGAGGTGGTTCCACGCAGGGGTCACTTCCTTGGAGAAGTTTTCGAACACTGCCAAGGATGTCGAAGACTTGCTCAATGTCCTGAAGGACCACATAGGTCTGGACCAGGCGGCTTCGTTGGAGCAGAGGGTGCAAGTGGCAGCGGTCACCTGCGCATGGTCGAATGCAAAGGCACGAATACAGCGTGCGGCCGAAGTAGAGGCTGAACTCGACACACGATGAGCGTTACACGCCGGCGAAAGAATACGTGGAAAAGAAGCTGCAAGAAGTGGAATCCGGGGATTACCGGGCAGAAGAGCTGACGGAGGTTGTCAGCCGGGAAGAAGTGGATCCGGACAGCCTGGTTCCGCAGTGGGACTCGAAGGGCAACATCTCAATGAGGAGAGGTGCAACGAAGGTGAAGGAGCCAGAGAATCCGGAATCACTCAGGCAGCGCCTGACTGTGATGCGGAATGCATACCAGATGGTGGCATTGCGCACACCAACCCAGAGCTGCAGGGCGACTACGTCAAAGTCTTTGAGGACTTTAAGGACTACCTCCTGGGGGAACACGTGTTTGGGTTAAATGCCAAGGACGCAGATGGGCTCACAGTGGCAGTCCCGCCATTCGGGCTTTCATACGAAAAGGCTGTGAGGAAGGAAGCAGCAAGAAAGATGAACCAAGATGGGACTGCCTTCCCAACGGCTCTGCGGGCCTCATGGAGGGATGCCACAGTGAAGGAGAGGCACTTCACAACGCCCTTGGCCTTGGTTGCAAAGAGGCCCAGCAGTGCCCAACCCAGCGCGCCAGGGGAGCACGCGGCAGCCAAGAAACAGAGGTTCGATGCAAAAGGAGGCAAGGACAAGGGGAAGGGAAAAGGGCGCCAGTTGCCAGGCTGCGCTTCCCATAACAGAGAAGGAACGCCCATCTGCTACAGGTACAAAGTGCAAATTCGCACACCAATGCGGCATCTGCTTCTCCGACAAGCACGCCATGTTTCAGTGCACAGTCAACAGGAGGCAGGGGGGGGCCGCCTGAAAGAAGCGCTTCACCGTGCTTTACCTCTTCTCGGGAAGGAAGAGGAAGAATTCGCTAGCCTGGTTTGTCAGGAAGCTTGCAAGGCAGTTTCACCATGAGGTGCAAGTTTTGGAGGTGGACTTGAGACATAGCCGCCAAGCGGATTGTTCGCGGCCTGAGGTCCAGAGGCGGTGGTTACAGTTCATTGACTCTGGGGCCGTGGACGCCCTTGTCATAACACCCCCGTGCTCCACCTTCAGTCGAGCACCCTGGGCCAATGAAGAGGGTCCTTTCCCTTTGAGATCCTCAGCGTGCTTGAGAAGTTTCACCTGGAATGCTGGTGAGCGGAGGAGGAAGGCTGACTTGGGGAACAACCTGGCAGACTTCTCATTTGAAGCAATGAGGAGACAATTGAAATGGCGACAGCGATCCGCCTTTATGGAGCAACCTGAAGACCTGGGTCGCACCCAGAAGGAGCGCATTCCAGGACACAGACCTGGGTCAATGTGGCAATTTCCACAACATGAGGAGCTGCTAGCAATGGAAGGGGTGCAGTCCGTGGCACTGGCACAACTTGACTTTGGATCAGCCAGCGTCAAGCCAACGCGCCTTTTGCTTCGCGCGCCAGGGCCCCTGCACCCAGAGATGTATGAAGGATTGCCACAGCTGGATGAAAACGGGTGGTACTGCGGCCCCCTGCCCAAGAAGCAAGGAGAGCCTTTGATTGGCCGCTCTGGAGGCATATTCAAAACAGCATCGGCCGCTGCATGGCCACCGGCGCTCTGCGAATGGGTCGCCACCCAGATTATGGCTTCGTTCCGTTTGAACAGTGGCTTCGAAGGGATGGGCCAAAAGATGGACCAAATGACTGGCCAACAGGGCCGACCTACAAAAAGGAGCAGGGAAGAGGCTGCGGAGGAAGAGGTGACAGACCCTTTCGACCCTCCGGCAAAGGGAGGGCAAGGGAAGCCGAGATGTTGCACTTGGAAAGAGAACTTGGTTCCCTTTCATGATGGGGGGTGTTTGATGTCCCCAGGCAGGTGGGAGATCGGGAAGAGGAGCTTCCCTGACTCTACAGAGCGGAAGAGGCTGAGAGCCACCTTGAGGATGGTCATTACCAGTGCAGCGGGGAGTGAGGCCCTGCTGGAAAGGGAGTGTTTTGCGATGGCTGGTGGCGCGAACGGGTGCAGGTTAGTACAGGATGCCCATTTGAGGGAGAAGATCTTGGGCCTATTGGCTGAATTCTGCCAAGTGAAGGGAAACAAGGAGAAGCTGTTGGAGGTGGCGGTAGGGCAGCCATTCAGGTTGGGGCTCATGAGGGCCATCCTGGAAATTGCAGGCGATGCAGATTGCGAGTTTCTCAGGGAAGCGGAAGATGGCCTCCCCTTGGGGGTGAAGCATCCACAATGGCATTTGAAAGGCAAGTGGAGTGGGCATTGGATTACGACCCCATGGTGGCCTCCATTGTGGAGAAGGCAAACTACCCGTCGGCTGCAGAGCATGAGGCCCACGTCCGAGGCCATCTCGAGGAGGAAGTGAGGGAAGGCCTTTTGACAAATGCTGCGGAAGGACTTTGAGGAGAAGTTTGGGGGTGAGAGAGCGGTGGCCGCGCTGGCAGTATTAGTTGAGGATGAGGCCACTGGCAAGAAGCGTGTCATCCACGACGGATCACACGGGGCCCGGGTCAACCACAGGATCCGATGCCTCGACAAGCTGAGGATGCCAGGAGGGAGAGAGAAGAGGCAGCTCTTAGGGAAGTTCCACACCGCAAGAGATTTCTCCCTCATAGGAGATTTCCAGAAGGCCCATATAGGAGATTCAAATATAGACAGGACGAGCATGGGTACCTGGCATGCAAAGTTTCAGAGGACGATGCCTGGATATATGTGAACAAGGTGGGCACGTTTGGTATCACCTCCACGCCGTACTGGTGGGGGAGGCTCAGCGGGGCGCTTCTCCGTCTGGGTCATTACCTACTGGGCCCGGCGCCGCTAGAGGCCTTGCTGTACGCTGACGATTTGGAAACAATGGGGGTGGGCCATGAAGGAAGAAAGGCCCAGGTGGTCTTCTTGTGATCCTTGCGATGCTTGGCTCCCCCTTCAAGTGGAAGAAGCAGCGGGGAGGCCTGTCCACAGAGTGGATTGGGCTCACGACATCTCACGACAGACTATGGCGGATACTCACTTGGTCTCTCTGAAAGAGAGCACGGTGGCTGGTTGCATGGATCGAAGGGCTTTGCAAAAAGAAGCTAGTGACGGCCAGGGAGTTCGCAGCGGGGCTGGGGCGGCTGGGTTTTGCAGCCACTGCCCTTCCTGGGAACGCCTGTTCCTAGGGCCGCTGTACACATGGGCAGCTGCCATCCGCGAGCAGAGACAAAAAGGTTTTGATCCCCTGGGCTGTTTTGTCCATTTTGGATTGGATCAGGGAAAAGTTAGAGAGTGGGGGCAGAATGGAAGTGGTGCAAGAGGATACCGCCCTTCCGGGCATGGGGACCATGTTCTTTACGGATGCCAGAGCATTAGAGACAGATGCATGCATTGGCGGCTTCCTAGCGGTCTCAAAGGACAGAAAACAATGCCCCTGGTTCTCATTCAGAACAACCCCAAGAGGGTTATTGCAGCCCTGGAGTTGCTTGCCACGCTTGTGGCAGTGAAAATGTGGGGTGAGAAGGGAGGAAAAGAGATGAGGGTATGAGTACGAAATATCTTCTCACCCTCCTTCTCATGGAACTCACTGAAGAACTGAGGAGAAAAGACTTAAGACTGGATCTAGAGTGGGTGAGGAGGGAGGACAACGTCGATGCAGACGACCTTAGCAACGAGAACTGGAGCAACTTCAGCGCTCACATGAGAGATGAGAGGAGACCTGAGGAGATAGGTTGGATAGTACTGGACAGACTCCAGCGGAAAGGGCTGGAACTATACAGGGAAATTCAAGAACTCAAGGAGCAGCGCTCTGTGAGGAAGAACGAGAAGACAGCTATGGGAAAGCCCAAGGCTGTAGGGAAAGTCCTCGCCAAATGGTGAGTGACTGGTAGAGGGATATGCCCCTATCTATGTGAAGACTACTAGATATGGGGCCGGCACTCACTGGGAGGCAGTCGTCATTTGAGAAAACACGCGTTGATGAACCTGTGTGGGAAGGGAACTGAGATATTCTCATGTTTTAGCTGCTCATTGTTTTCACAACAAGTGCCAGCTCAAGTGGGGCAATCCCGCTTCAGAAGCTCATGGCGAGCTCCTGGACAAACCATATAGACTGACCTCGTATAGACCTCGTAGCGGATCTCGTATAAATGCATCCTTTTCCGCCACCACAGTTTTTGATATGCAACCCTTCTGTCCAAACCTGACGTGTGAATCCGGAGTTCCTGTTTGAATTAAAACACACTGCGCATAACATTCTGGCAGGAGTAGTCTTCAGAAGCGGAGTTTACATGGGGATTTGCTCAAGTGGTTTGGGCAGGTCTGAAGCATCAATAAAAGCCAGCGTTCCATGTTAACGGCGAATCATCAACCAAATATGTTTAGTAGTTTGGGTACCGGCTTTCCATTGGAAAGAGGCTTCTGGAAATGAGCGTTTTCACGTCTACAAACCGTAGACGTTAAAGCGTTTCCAGTGGGTTTCATAGTCCAGGTCCTGCCTTTTCTGACTTAGCCGTGACCACGGCGTTCCATGCAGGAACACATATTCTAGCACCACCGGTCCTGCCTTCAACGTTCACCTGTAGATCCTAAAGAGCTGTACTTCCTCTATTGCCTCGTCTCGTGATGGATGAACTTGGAGCGCACATGAGGTTGCATTGCTTCTCTGGTTGCAGGCACCCTTTTGGGATGGGCCTTGCTGAAGAAACCTTGGTTCATGCTAATGTTCCATACGTTCGGTGAATGCCAAAATGGATCAAAATGGCAGAAATGAGCGGGAAATCCTGGAAAGGCCCCACAGTTTGACATCAATGATATTCTTTGAGCACCGCTAGGCTGAAGGAATGGTGCGCTGAGTTTCCAATCGAGGGCACTGTGCAGGGTGCCTTCAGTCAGAAGCCTGGCACAACTTGCTGAGGAAACATGAATATTGATAGAGGATTTGCCCATTAATACCTCCATTTCCCATCAATAGATAAGATGGATACGGGTTTATTGTGTTTTATTGTGTTTGATTAAAATGAATCAGATGCGAAGCAACGGGGGTTTTTCAAGATCGTCTAGCAGCTGGAGATACAGCCGAGTAATGGCAAAGCAGGCAGGAGCTCATAATGCTCAAAGTCGTAACATGTTTGACATGCTGCACCTACGTGTGTTACGAGTGCTGTGTGACTGCGCATGTCATTTCTATTCATTTCTCTCGCATGACAATCAACCAAATGCCGCTCAATTAAGGGTTTATCATGGTTTATCGAAGGCATGCATGGTTTATCGAAGGCATGCCCTCATCTCGTCTAGCCCCATAAGAAGAAGAACAAGAAAAAAACTAGGACGAAAACATCATTGAGTTATATTCTAAAAGACCCTTGATGATCCTGCCTTTCCTGACGACTCATTGCATCACGACCCCATGCTCCAGCATTGGTTTGAGATGTTTGAGGTTGGGCCTTCTTAAAGGCCATGGCACAGGGGCACTTCCATGTTGGCATCTATCAGCCCGACGGCCCAGGGGAACAGTGGGTGCCATTGTGTCGCTGTGTCAGTTTCTTTTCACCAAAAATGCCGTCACGCACGCTACGAAAGGGGCCAGCCGTGACAAACCCTTTGGGATTCGAAGTATCTGCCATGTTCAGAGAAAAGTTGTCATCCTTATCAGTTCGATCCACTTGCAATCACTTGCAGGTTTCAGCAGTTCATGACCAACCTCCTCCTGAGCCTGAAGGCACGATTTTCGAGATGGCCACTCTGGTGAGTTTGCACAAGCTCTGTAAACAACACAGCATACTTGTTGACTCTTGTTGTCGGACAAAGCACTTTAGGCCGGGACTTATTCGAAAACACATGTGTGGTGGAGTGTCAAACAGATGTTGCAATCTGTTTGCACCTGCTCACTGAGCAAGCTAACAGGTTTTCTGGTTGTAGCTCGTTGTCAGTTTTGCTACTTCCAAGCCCCTTCAACTTCCAAGCAAGTTCTGCCAGCCTCCGAAACTGGTTTCACTTAGGAGCCGAAGTACAAACAATCAAATAGACTCAAAATTTGAGAGCCCCGGCCCCAACCGATAGATTTGTGGAGATTTTGGTTCACCTATTTTGGCACCAATATGATCGATATGGATATAGACAGACAACGGCAGACATGTGCAATCCAAAATATTATTGTTTTTTTTTGTGGGTGTCAATCTGGACCCTTAGCTGTCGCAAAACCCTGCAGACCCACTTCAAGCACGTTGACCAGCAGCCTGTGGTTCAGCTTTCGGCCGATGCAAGCCTTCAGGACGACGCCAATGTGGGATATGTGCGTGTGTGTGTCTGGGAATCAGTGTGCCCCAAAAGTTGCAGTTTTTGATATGTTTCCTCCAAATTAACCGCTGAGATTGGAGCCGTTTGACGCTTTTCATAACTTCCCCAACTCTGGGATTTGGTGCCCTATGTTCAGACAACCAAATGTGGCCTTTGGAGGCTGTTTGGCACAAGATGTAGCACAGGGAGTTGAGAGATAGAGCAATAGTGAGGCACTTTGCTTGACACCTTTGCCTTGTGAGAATGTGAAAGACTCGCAGCGCGTCATGAATCAAGAACTTACGGCCTTGTTGACATGTCTTCCAGCTAAGTACTGATCCAAACCCCTGATCCCATAGATCGTCCAAGCAATCGCATGCAGCGTGGCCATTTAAAATTTAAATGGTACACCATGGTACACCATTTTATGTTGCAATAAATTGATATGAATTGCATATTGCAATGGTATAGCAAGGTGTACCAGTATGCCGGGTATACGGTATACCGTTTAAAGCCTGTAGCCTGGCCTGAAGTGCCGCTGCTTTTACGGCGCTTTGTGGCCTTCAGGATGTTGTCCTGTGGACTTGAGAAAGGCGGATGGACCTGGATGTGTGGTAGTTTCATGTGTGCTTTGCAGTTGTTTGCTTATTGCAATGTCGAAAGGAAACCATTGAATAAATTTCATATTTATTATACATATTCAAGAAGGGAAAACCAGTGCCAATCTTATCTATAATATCTATACAATGTCCTTTTCTGTTGCAGTTTCCATCACTGTGAGACGAGTGGTTTCTATATATATATATGATAGCTGTATTGCTGCTTCGTTGTTGCTAACGATCATCATGATGCATGTGACGGAACAGATGGCATGACACGGTAGTGCATGTCATGTCATGTATTGTATTGCAATGTTTTGTATTTGTTAAGTTTTGGTTGTGTTGTATTGTATGTGCTTGTGTGCGCGCACATGTGCATGTAACGTATGGGGCGGAGGTTCGCCTAACGGGGCGGATGGTCGTGTTTGAATATGTGAATTCAAGCTCAGAGAGCCGTTGCAGCTCCAAGTGGCCTCAGCAAATACATAAGTGGCCAGAGTTCCTAGTCCCAAGAAGGAGACACGAGCTGCACAAGGTGCCCTAGGACCTAGGACCATTCTCCAAACACTTCCTTGCTTAACGCTCGCAAAGCATCCTGCAAGACAAAAGACAGGCTGCCACAATCTGGCGCCTGCAGTTTGCCGTCGCGCATCTTAGTGAGCGGCATTTGTTAATGACTGCGGTTCATTTACACTTGCCAAGATCCTGTTGTGGCAACGTGCCCCAAACATCAACATGGACCAATGTGTGTGCTTGTCCTGAACCGGGAAATCCTTCGGGTTTGGCGTGCCATGCAGGGTCAAAGATTGTTTCTTGGCAAGCGAGATGAGCAGCGAGAACCCCCGTGTCAGCTGGCCTGCCAAGATGCGTACCCAAGCCCAAAGCAATGCATCAAGATCTTTTACTGTTCACGGGCAATTGGGGAGCCCCTTTGCCACTCTTCAATTCTCGACTAAAAGTTCAGGCACCAGACACATAACATACAGTACATTGATGTACATTCTATTGTATATATTCATATATATAGTATATATAGTATATATATATATCCCTTTTAAATTATTTGAATCTAGCAAATGCAGTTGTTATCTTTATATACATACAGACACATGGATTGCGTATATATATATATACATACATACATACATACACACACACATACATTGTGAGTACAATATTAAATATATATATATTGTATAATATACATACTATATGTATATATAAATATGCATGCGTGTGTGTGTGTGACCATACTAGATTATACATATAAGATACATTATATACATACGCACATATACGAAATTCCTGAATATGCAATGAATGCTAGACATGATTGGACATGTATTTTTTTTTCTTTGGCGGGGTGGCCGGGTGGCCAAGTCACCTTAACTCAAAGCTGTCATGATGGCTGTCATGCCACAAAGCTACACACATGACACAGATGGCAGCGGAGACAACGCTGACTCAAATCGCTTCTGTTGTGGTGCAAAAGAAGCATTGAATACTATCATGTGTGGCTCTTACAACATTCAAAGACATGGCCACCATAGATAGCCAAGTCAAACTCACAAAACCAATCACTAGTCAAGCAGACGTTCGAAATTACGGACTTTGCGCAAGCCCACCAGAATTTGCCCAGCCAGCTCCAATGATGTCAACGATGCGAACGTTT